CTCTCTCTCTCTCTCTCTCTCTCTCTCTCTCTCTCTCTCTCTCTCTCTCTCTCTCTCTCTCTCTCTCTCTCTCTCTCTCTCTCTCTCTCTTCTCTCTCTCTCTCTCCCTCTCTCTCTCTCTCTCAGATGAGCACTGTCTCTTCAACTAAAATAAGATCAACCACGAAAACAGAAATTGAAATCCGTGGTGGCTTACCTAGTGCTAACCATTCCTTCTTGTCTTTCTGGCCTTTCTTCAATGCTTCTAACCGTCTGCGTCTGACAGCCTCTAAATCATCCTGTAATTTATTTAGAATATATTACAATTACATACATAGATGTAAATATATAATCCGATACCATGTACATGTATGCATGCGTGCAGAAAAACGTTAATAGATAAGATATTAATATTGCCTACGTGAACTTAATAATCCCCGAATGCTACATATAGTACATAAACTCTCACAACACCATGCAAATATGAGAGACCTCATCCATCTTATCAAGCTTTTCGATCTGTGCATCCACTTGTTCTTCCACCATACTGGCTGCAGCTAGAAGTTGCTGCTCCATTGCTGTACCAGCATTAGACGCCATATTGGGCACGTAAGCTGGGGTATGATAAATCCTGTCTGCAGAAAGTACAAAAGTTTGACAAATAAGTATGCTATCGTGAAAATGTCCCGAATAAGCTCTCAACTGAGAGGTGAACACATTTCAGTCACACATGTTCACATTACCGCCCACGGAGGTGATCAAGTCCATCACATGGGACGATGTCCGTGTCGCCACGTCCAGTGACCCAACCATGTGCAGATTGGCCGGGTTCATCCAGGAGGGCTTCCCCAAGCTGCCTAGTGATCTCCCTCACAAACTCCGACTATACCACCAATTTCGCGTAAACCTCACAGAATTTGATGGGGTATGCCTCTACAAGGACCGCATCATCATTCCTCCATCACTCCGTGACCGGGTACTCCAGCCACTGCATTCAGCCCACCAGAGTGTCACCATGATGTGCTCACGGGCAGAGTCGTCATTCTTCTGGCCGGGCAAGACTCCTGCCATCACTGAGATACGGGCACGCTGCTCTCCCTGCAACTGCATGGCGCCTTCACAGCCAGGCACGCCTCCCACCCCGCCTGTACAGCCTGATTATCCATTCCAATGCATCGCCGCTGACTCCTTCACCTACCGTGGTCGGAACTACCTGGTTGTGGTGGATCGGCACAGCAACTGGCCAATCGTTGAGCAGGCCGCCAATGGTGCCACAGTACTAATTGCTGCCCTGCGCTGCGTCTTCGTGACTTTCGGCATCAGCGACGAGCTGTCATCGGATGGTGGCCCCGAATTTGCGGCAGGCGCCACCCACAATTTCCTACGTGACGGGGCGTGAATCACCAAACCTCATCCGTTGCCTTCCCCCATAGCACTTGCCGCGCAGAGGTGGGGTCAAGACTGTCAAGCGCCTCCTCACTGACAACACTGACGCTGAGGGCTCCCTTAACACTGATGAGTTCCAACGTGCCATTCTCCAGTACCGCAACACGCCTGACCGTGATACACATCTCTCCCCCACCATGCGTGTCTTCGGATGCCCCATCCGTGACTTCATACCCATTCACCCGGGGAAGTACCAACCGCACAGCACGTGGCGCGAGACACTCACATCCCGGGAAGAGGCTCTGCATAACAAATACATGCGCTCTGCCGAGCGCCTATCAGAGCACACCCGTCCTCTCCAACCACTGTCACAGCGTGAGAAACTAGCGGTCGCCCAGTCGCCAGTGGCGATTAGAAAATCGACCGGGCGACTGCTTGCTCGTGTCAGCTGGTCCGGCCGGGCGACTAGATAATCGCCGCACAGGAAATAAAATGAAAGTGTCAATGACACTGTAGCTCACCACAAAAAAAGGACACAAATGAGTGAGTGAGAAGAAGTCAGTTTTAATTGAGCAACCATCAACATACATTATAGAAACGAAGAGTATATATGGAAGAACTCCCATTATATACTCTTGATAATTATATGTGTAATTTTGTATGTGAAAATAAATGTTTGAGATGTGAAAGTCTGAGATGTGGGCGAGTGATGGCGTTACACCTAAATGATCGCCATTTAACGTTTTTATAATATTCAGATTTAGGCACTGCCTAAAAGCGGAGCTCCCGATGTGTAACGTGTAAGATTGAGAGGATACGCTTATTCCACGTAGCTGCTATATACCACGTGACAATGGTGTTTCCCTGCCCATAACACAACTTTTGTCAAAGTTTAATTGGTTGCATGGAAGTGTTTACTTCGTATGAGTTTTTATAGGCGGTAGCACACGGTTGCCATCTGTATATCGCAATAATAATTTATAAACCAAAATGAATCACAATTTGTCCTTTCAATAAAGTGATAAAAATGGTAGGTCAGCGCTGAAACAAAAAAGTTTTGCACTCAGTCCGTTAGACCATTTCCTCAGAAAATGTCTGATATCTGACCTTTCCCCCACTGCCCTTTGACCTGTAATCTCCAATTTCGCGCTGGTGATTGATTTTCTCCCCATCACACTATACTCCCCGTTGAGATTTGTCCCCCAATTCCTTATTTCCTCCTATACCTTAAGTTAAGGGAGAAATATTCCCCCTCCATTAACACACCTTGACCTTTGACCCTTGACCGCCAAATTCAACATCCCGAGTCCTTTTCGCGACCCCCACCCCCCACCCCACCCCACACACACACACACCCGTTGTCCCGAATATCAAGATCGTACGTCACGCGGTTAAGATTTGTGCCGTAACTGTTGACGGACGGACGGACGGACGGACGGACGGACGGACATTCATGCGATTCTACAAGCTGTGCACATCTGACTTCGTAAAAATAGTGTCAGTACAAGTCGGATGGACAACACTACTTATGATGTATTTTTAACCGTGTTTTACATAATAAACAAGAGCCGCAGAGCGTCTGGGCTCATCTGAGGTCTGTTGCTACGGTTATAAACGTAACATTTAAGTCGTGCGTAGTGACACCTTTGTTAGGCGCAGATATGCAGATACGCAGTTGCGTACACATCATTTCAGCAACCTTCTGCATTCTGCATACCTCCCCAATCCCATTGGTTGATACAAATCGCGTGCCTGAAACTCCTGTTTTATGGTGCATTGTGACCATAACCCTAACCGTATTTACAAATAAAAAAAATTAATTGTAAAAATTATTTGTTGTTATTAAATTTTTGTAAATAAATAATGTAAATATTTGCATTAATTGGAAAAAATAGTTAAATGGATAAAGATAGAAAAATACAGAAAACAGGTAAATAATAAAAAATCTGATGGGATTCGATCCAAGGACCGTTGAGCCGTGACGCCTGTGCTGTACCCGTTCGGCTATCCAGGCTTATTGGCTTTCTAGATTATGGATGTGCCATGAATATGAGAACACTGTGACATCATTGAAGCAGTTCAGCAATCCATGTTTAACCCTCCTCTTGAGGGTCAAAAGGTTATCAGACACTTACTCTTCTCACGTCAGTGGAAAGCACATTTCATGGTCCTTTCAATAAAGTGATAAAAATGGTAGGTCAGCGCTGAAACAAAAAAGGTTTTCACTCTGTCCATTAGGCCAAGTTCTAAGAAAATGTCTGATATATGACCTTTCCCCCACTGCCCTTTGACCTGTGACCTCCAATTTCGCACTGGTGATGGATTTCCTGCCCATCACACTATACACCGAATATTAAGAGCATAGGTCGAGCCATTAAGATTTGTGCCGCAATTCCGTATTTCCTACTATACCTTAAGTTAAGGGGGAAATATTCCCCCTCCGTTTACACATCTTGACCTTTGACCGTTGACCCCCAAATTTGTCATCCTGAGTCCTTTTCACGATCCCCCCCGACATCCCGAATATCGTGACCGTACGTCGAGCAGTTAAGATTTGTGCCCAACTGTTGACGCACGCACACACGGACGCACGCACGGACAATCATGCAATTCTACAAGCTGCATCTTACTACGTCAGATGAGCTAATAATAGGTGAAGCGAGGCATGTATTGTAAATCATTAAATTTTGAATTTTGATATTTTGAGTGAGTCACACTATATCATTTACCCCTGATCACAGGCCCATGGGCCGTTTCAATAATAAAATGATAGTAAACAAACACAAAATGTTTTTAGTACCAAAGTCTTGATGTTTCTCTACCCTCTTTCGCCTATCAATCATTACTGATAATTTCCTATAATTGCCGTTCAAATGCTCTTCGGCAACACACAACTGTGTCAAGTACACGGCATGCATGCCGATGTGCACAAAAAACAAAACTATAGTCTCTATTAAAGAAAACCTGGTAAATTAAACAAAACTCTGTAATTTTGTAGTTTGTGCACAGTAGCGTTTGTGCGGTGTAACTGTGTGTTGCACAGGAACATTTCAATGGCATTTACAGTAAATTATCAGTAATATTAGGTGAAAGAGAGTAGAGAAATATTGTATTTACAACCAAACTTTTAATGATTAAGACTTGGTAGTAAATACATTTCGTGTTTACTAACAGTTTATTATTGAAACCTTTCAATGTTCCAAGTCAAGTGCCTGTGCTCCTGAATGATATACATAATTACCTCCGCCAAGGAGGTTATGTTTTTGCCCGTGTTAGTTTGTTTGTTGGTTTGTCTGTCAACAGGATATCTCAAAATGTTACGGACGGATTTTGATGAAATTTCTTGGACGGGTTGCATGGTCTTGGGCCAAGAACCAATCGATTAGATTTTGGTGGTATTGGAAATCCGGATCCAGATCTGGATCCAAGAATTTTTTGATAGATTTCTCATCATTGATGACCATCGGTTAATCTCTAACTGTTTCGCTTCGTTTCGCTTTCGCTTTCTCTCTCTGTAGGGGTTCATGATGTGGCACCGCCGCGTTAAACCGAACTACAAATTAGATCGATTCGGATAGCTATATATATAGATATATGCGCCGTGCACGGTGTCAATGCAGAGTCAAACAACAACAGCAAGATGGGGGGGAGGGGAGACTGCTACGCTGTGGCATAGATTTGCTATCTCCGATTGCAGTCTTGTTCCTAATACTATATTTATTTATCATGATATCAATAAGCATGCATAGCAATTAAGGGGGGCTTATGTCGGGCTTGCGAGCCGACTCGACTGGAAGCAACTGGATTTCGAGCAACTGGAAGGCGATCGGCCTGACTAGTTGCGTCCAGTTGGCCCACTGTTTGTATTCTGAGTGCAACTATGGCGGCCAGTCGCAGGCAGTCGCATCAGCAGTCAAACGCGACCTAAGGCAACTGGCAGTCGCAGTGAATTGGCAGATTTGCTTCCAGCCGGAGCGTCGGCCGGCAAGCCCGACATAAGCCCCCCTTTAGCATGAATGTGGAACTCTGCAACTACGATCGAATTAGGTCTATAAACGTTTCCAACGCTTTTCTAAGCAGCCTACAATCTACTTTTAATTCGTAAATATCCCCCTCACTATTTAAACCACAGCAGAGCAAGGAATCAGCTTTTTTAATCGGCTTATCATGTTCTAATCTAAGTACCATAGTTAGTTAGTTAGTTAAGGATAATGGGTTGTGATAAGCCTAGCCTAATATGCACCCATATCTTGCGATTTCATGAATCGGTCGATTTGGCCTTAAATACGTTATTAGTGCAGCTGCGACTGCACTTTGTGGGAGTTTATTCCAGGGTTGCACCACTCCCTGGCTAAAAAAGTTTTGTCGCGCCTGGAGTCTGGACCGTTTTTATATAATTTCATGTTATTTCCTCTTAGTGATGTTGTTGAAGCTGGACAAAAGAAAGTATTTGGCTTCAGTTTATATTGCCCTGTCATGATTTTGTATGATTCTATTAGGTCGCCTCTTAGTCTTCTGGTATGTAAAAATTGTAATCCTAAAAACTTCAGCCGGTCCTCGTACTTGACGTTTTTTAACCCATATACTAGTTTGGTGGCCCTTTGTTGGACTTTTTCCATGTGCTCAATGTCTTTACTAAAGTAGGGAGACCAGGCCTGGATGCAGTACTCTAGGCGTGGACGTATAAATGTTTTGTATAGAATCAAGAAAGCTTTCTTGTCCAGGAACTTGAAGGACTTCCTGATTGACCGTAATACATTGGTAGCTGTACAGGCCTTTATGCACTGCATCATAGGTTTCATGTCGTTAGATATCCAAACCCCAATGTCCTTTTCCTCCTCTTCCTCCTTCAAAATTCTTCTTTGGTCCCTGTCTTTCATTGTGTAGATATATTTGTTATTTTTACTGCCTATGTGCATCCTTTGGCATTTTTCAACCTGAAATTTCAGGAGCCATGTTTCTGACCACTTACTTAATTTATCGAGGTCTGTCTGCAGAAGAATATTGTCTGTGATATTTCTTACTATATTCCAAATTTTTGTATCGTCTGCAAACATTTTCAACAATTTACAAGGTCTGGTATATCGTTAACATAAATTAAAAACAGGATTGGACCAATGACTGATCCTTGAGGTACCCCGCTGTCGACGCTGCTCCACTCAGAAAATTCTCCGTGCACTGATAAAACTGATAACTTTCCAGCCATGCGATTAGGTTTCCCCTGGTTCCGTAGCCTTTTAGCTTACTTATGAGACGGCGGTGTGGAACCGTGTCGAAGGCCTTTTGGTAATCCAAAAATACTGTGTCTATTGAAGCACCACAGTCCAATGCTGATGTCCAGTCTTCGAACGTTTCTAGAAGATTTGTCAGGCAGCTTTTTCCTGCCGTGAACCCGTGCTGGTGAGGGGTGAAAAGGTCATTAATGTTTAAGTGCTCCACAATGTGATCGTTTAGCAGAGATTCCATCACTTTATATGTTACACACGGTTTAGCGAGAACCTCTGCGCACTCTTTGAGAAATTTTGGGTGTATTTTGTCTGGCCCAGGAGATTTGTCTGGTTTGACCATATCAAGTTTCTTTTTGATGCTCTCCGTGGTAAAGCGAATGTTTCTTATGGTGTGATCATTTTCAACTTTGTTGTCAAATACTGGTATTCCTTCTCCTCCTTCTTGTATAAAAACTGAATAGTAAAAGTTGTGCAGCAATGATGCAGCATCTTTGTCCGAATTTGTAAGCATTCCATCTTGTCTCTTTAGTTGGGTTACACCAACTTTCACTTTTTGCTGGTTGCGTATGTAGGCATAACAAATTTTGGGATGTATCTTGAAGGAGTCTACTAAATGTTTTTCGTGGTCTCGTCTGGCGTTCCTGCGCATCTCTCCGGCCTTGTTTCTCTGCTTTGCATAGTCTTCATAGTCACGTCTTCTACCTAGGCTCAACCATCTCTGGAAGAGTTCGTGTTTCTTTTTTACTGCCTTCTGAACTGCTTTCTTCATCCATGTTGGTTTTGAGCCTTTATTGCGTGGGGCATATCTTGGTACAAATGTGTTGCATAATTTGTCTACTGTGTTTACAAATTCGCTCCAAGATGATTCTACGTCATTGGCATTTAGAACTTTAGACCAATCTGTGGTTAGTAATTCGTGGTTGATACTGTTTGTAATCACCTTTCCAAAAATTTAGACCTTGGCTAGTTCCATCCCTTTTCCCTGGTTCTAGATAGGTGAGTAGGGTCCAAGACAGACCAACATGATCACTTTTCCCTAGCGGTCCTAGAGTGATCATGTTTTCCACCGTGTGTTCATCGTTGGTAAATACCAAGTCCAGCATGGATGTGAGCTTTCCATCGACTAAGCGTGTTGGTCCCGTCACATGTTGGCATAATAGCATGTCTTGTGTTATGTCTAGGAATTTACAGGGGAAACTGGACTGTTCTCTGTCGGTGTAATACCTAACAAAGTCTACATCTCTTAAATTGAAGTCGCCCATTATCAATAGATGCTTGTAGCTTTCTCTAGCCACTTTCGAAAATAATTCCAGTAAATTTTCATTGTTCACGCTTGAGCTGGATGGCATTCTATAGCATACCCCTATGAGTAAAGTTTTTTCTGTTGCCCAGGTATACCTTGCAGTGCTTGCACCATGTTGACTCGGTAAATTTTTCGTTATTTAGAGTCTCGCAGGGTGCTGCTCTTAATTAGTCGTGGATTAGTAGGGCTACTCCACCTCCTTCCTGTCCTTCCTGAATAGTGAATAGCCGTTTAGCTTTAGTAGACCATCAGGTACGCTTGTGTTTGCCAAAGTTTCTGCTCCATCCATCCATCCACTTCCAGCTCATTTAGTTTATTAAAACGATACTACGTGCATTTGTATAGTAACATGTGACACAGTTAGCTTTGTTTAGTGCAATGTCGTATTTACATATGTTAAACCCGTCCCTGTTGTCTATATGGCCGTGTGAGGGAGTTGGGAGTCCAACACCTTTCTCTTTACAATTTGACCTCTTCTGATCATCAGGTCGTACTCCCCCTGGTCTCTCCTCATCCCCAGCTCCTGCCTCAGTGCTTGCCACCTGGCCCTTTCCTGCGGGGTCATGTCCGGCTTTACATAGCAGTCTTTCATTGTGCTGTTTTTCAAGTTTTTTGACACGTGCAGCAGCTTCAACGTCGAGCACTGCTGTGAGGTCTCTTACCTGTCTCATGTCATGATCTACTTGACTGTCTCCCTCATGTTCTACGGGCTCCGGAAGTCCGAAGACTACTATGTTACGTTTCCGTCAGTCTCTTTCCTCGAGTTCTCTCTGAAACTTCTCTAGTTTTTCCTCTACTACGTTGTCAAAGGTGTCGTCAATTGTTCTTAGTCTGCCATTAATCTTGTCGACCTTGTCTTCCGTCCTTTGTATATATGATGTACTTTCTTGTGCTACTAGTACTACCTTAATATTGTTCATGCTGTCCGTGAGCGTGTCAAGCTTCTTCTGTTTCCGCTTGTTTGTGTTCAAGCCTTGCAATGGCACCAAACAGGTTTGCTACACTGTGATTGCATTTGCTGCAATACCAGGGGATGTTGCTGCCTCCGTTTTTGTCAGCGTCGGACAGGAGAAATTCATACGATTCGTCGCCGAGTCCTTCGCATTTGATGTGATGCCAAAACATGCAGATTTCACAGAGAAGTCCCCTATCACTATCGCTGAGAGGGTCTATGTCCCCCAGGGTACTGCCGGAACGTACCCTGGGTACGGTCCGGTATACAGGAACGTACCTCTGGTAACTATCTAATATGCCGAGCGCGTACCTCGCCTACTCCACTAACGAGTCTAGGGAGTCGCCTACGCCTACTCCCTAACCCTAACACTAACGCTAACCATATCAAATACTGAAATAGTTACAAGGTTCCGTTCCGGAATACCTGACCGTACCCAGGGTACGTTTCAGCAGTACCCTGGGAGACATAGACCCTATGAGCATCACTAAAATGACTAATGACACTATCCTTCACTAAAACTTTACATGTTCCACACCCGTCTGAGTTTCCTTTGGACTGCACCCTCTTCTTCCCGCTTTGACATCCAGTTTGTTTTGGTCCTGTGTCAGGCTTCCCCTAGTTTTCTCTGTATTTGACGCAGTAGGCGCCCCCCTTATCGTGGAGACAGAGCCGGTTCTTTCGTTCGACATGATTACCAGTAGTCAGTAGGCCTGTACCGGCGTATATTTGGACGCGGGCCCAAAACTGGACGCTCCTAAGTGAGCATGCGCGCGTGCCTGCGTGTGGGTGTGCGTACG